GTTGCAGTGACGCGCCCGTGAGCTCCGCCGGCAGCCAGCTGTGCCTGAGTGACCGAGACAGGGCAGAACTCCTAATGACCACTGATTATTGCAACCAAACTGAGTAGGCACATGAGTCAACACATATGTCAGAGCAGAGCAGCAAAACAGAGTTACAGGAACACTAATGTGGGATAAAATAGGGCTGGGCGATATGGCCTAAGATCCATATCACGGTATAATTTGAAGCATGTGCGGTAAAGATATATATCGCGATATATTCTTTTCTTCTGTATAACGTATTTTACACACTATAAAGCACACGTAAAATCCTTTAATTTTCTCAAAAATCGACAGTGTGTCTTATCTATGGGTTCTGGTTGTGTTTACTGACCTCTAACCAATTTTATGTGGTACACAGTGTTCAAAAATCTGTCAAAAATGTTTTTGTACGACTTTGGTAAGCTATGAAGCCGCAGCGCTTGATGGATTGTCGGAGCATTACGGCTATCGTAGTCAGGAGCCTCACGGAGTGATCTGGGTCCTAAACTCCGTCCGTTTCAGGTCCCAAAGTCACACAATCACTGCAGCATCACTGAGAGTTAAGAACTGTCTAAATTCTTTAATCTTTAATAAAATGATCAGTGTTGCTGCTTTACCAGGTGTAACTATGAAGTTTAACATCCAGGCATCCATAAAACAGAATTTATTAAATTTAACAGAGTTAGAAGTTAGCAGGAAGTTAGCGGAAGTTAGCTCGCTAGTTTCACTAGTTACCTAAGCATGATATAGCATGTTCTGACTGAGAGATTTCTGAAAAAAATCAAACGTACAGCTCTGTTGTCACTTCCAACATGAATGAAGACAGAAAACTAGTAGGGCTGCTCGATTATGGCAAAAATGATAATCATGATTATTTTCACTGAAATTGAGATCTCGATTATTTGACGATATTTATTTAACCCTTTAAGATAGGGCTGTCAAACTCAAACACACAGTGGGCCAAAATTCAAAACTGGAACAAAGTCGCGGGCTAACGTTAATATTTATTGAAATATATTTATTCCTCCAGATTTAAGAATGAATCTTTTCTTATGGACTCAAAGAAGTTTTGCTGAAAAACTGAATATGGAACAAGCAAAGCTTAATACT